GTGCGAGATAGACACTGATCACCATATACTTCTGTCAACAAATTGTAAGTTTCAGTGGCAGATTTTCCAAGTTTTGTGAGGAATTTGATGTTAGCACGTTGTTCTGCATTAGCACTCAGCATTATTCCGACGGAGCTCAGAAACACGATCCGCTTCTAACAATGGTCGCGGCCAGACTAACCGATGCACGTGAATGAAACTTTGTGTGACGGTAGAGGGAAGTCCAAGGGTCAATGCCCTACCCTCCTCTTCGTCAATGACGTGGCCGAAAATGAGTCATAAAAGTAATCCGGGTTCTTTATTGCCACACCTTGTATTAAAGTCCTTATAGGTACATGAGAACAAGGTGCTGAGAAGAATGTCTGGACCAAAGTAAGATTAAATAATAGGAGGATTGAAAAAAAAAAAGTAATGGGGAGCTTAGTAACTTGTACTCTTCGCCAGGTATAAATTAGAATGATCAAGTTAAGGAGAATGGGATGATCATGGCATGTAGTTTGCACCAGAAGAAAAGGGATGCATAAACGGTTTTGTTTTTGGAAAGTAGAAGGAAAGACCATTAGGAAGACCTAGACGTAGGTGGGAGGATAACATGTTTTAAGAAACTGAATGGGGTAACATGAACTGGATTAATCTGGCTTAGGAGAAGGATCAGTGGAGGGCTCTTGTGAAAACGGTATTGAACCTTAGGTTCCCACAGAATGTTGGCAAATTCTTGAGTAGCTGAGTGACTGGCAGCCTCTTGAGAACTGTGAGAAAGCATGGATGTTGTTGTCACCGAGTTCTATTATTTTGACATGTACTTACAAAAACAATTTTATTACACCTTTAATAAAACACTATATCAATTCTTTGATATTCCCAAAACACAGCAAATTTAAATATCTGCTATGAGTTGGAACACAGTAAAACACAATGATTGCATTAGTTTTTCAACCCTTTGAACTGCTCGTATTCAGAACTGCCTTCACAAATAACTAGAACAGAAATGCAGGTTCTTCAGGGGAACTAATTATTGTCACCCCAAGATCTGAGGGAGAAAATACATGATGGGAAAAAAAATAAATCATACCTAATTCTAAATACCGACAATTTTATTTTTTGTTGGCAATACTAAGGGATACAATTCCTTCAACGAACTTCAGGCTTACTTTCCTTCATTTATAAGGAAAGGTAGGGTAACATATTTACAGTATGGTGATTGCGTACTTGGGGATCATCACTCAAGGTACACATAACGCTATCCGGTACCATGCTCCTTACAAGAATTCATATTTTATTTATGATTACCATCCAGAAAATAAACATAACAATGATTAAGTCTCACTAAACTAAACTAACTTAATCTGTCATCAAACATTCATTTTTCTAGTATCTACTGGCAACCAGTCAAACTACATTAAAACATTTCATAAATAAAATAAGCATAAGTAATTAGTTTTTGCATCATATACAAACAAAAGTAGGCTTATGCTTCATTTTCACGTTTTGCGTCCTGTTGTATATACAGATTCAGGGCTTGTATACCAACACACAACAAGATTCTGTTATATATAACAAACAAGTGATCTGAATTGAATACATCAATAGACCAGTCATCCTTCGAAAAAATGTTTAGCTTTTATCTGTATGACCAAAATGGATCCATTTTGAATACATACTCAGCAATACAGCACAATATATTTATGATTATACATGTACACACCTGAGGATGGTCAATTATGACCAAAACACGTAGTATTTAATATAACAGACTGACTGATCTATTGGCATATTCAATTCAATTCAATCACATACTATATATAGAAGAATAAACATGTTGTGTGACAGCATAAAACCCCTAAATCTAGGCTTAGTGTGTCATGCCTGTGTGTGTTTTCCCCTTCTACTAATATCTGAATTGATAGATGGATTTTCATGAAACCAGATGTGACACTGAAGGCTTCCCCAACTTTCAGTTCTATAATTCCTTACCAGTTACAGCAGCTGCATTAACTGTAGTAGATGGAGTGACAATAGTGCTTCTTACAAGGGAATGGTCTGATCTGACATGTCGAAATCTACCCTGATTTCACTGCAAGAGTATACATAACAAAATCCACTGTCAGCTGCTAATATGCACTACAATATTGGCCATGTTCAGCATTTTTTAAAAAATACTTGCATTGTGTATTAGCAGCAGACCATTCCCTTGTTAGTTAAACCCCAAAATTGCTACAGTGGTAAAAATAACAAAATGGGCTTCACATAACACTTGTATTTGGCTTTTCATTTCATAACATCTATTACAGAATTAAAGCTGGTTATGTGAACTTTTGTGGATACAGGTTAGAGATTTGATTAGAGGTTATATGAAACATTATTTTATACATCTAAATTTGCAAACATAGCTATAGTGAAAATGTCCAGAGGTTATGCTGAAAACATGTTGGATTCTATACTAGCATAAATTATGCACAGAAATGCATCAGTTGTTTGTATAATTATTTTACTGTTTCTACAAAGATCTGTATACAGATGGAAGTATTAAGCAAATAAAGTGCATAAGTACCAAACTGAATTTTGCATTTATACATTACATTTGCCAATCTATGTTTCACTGGAAAACATCCTCTGTTCTTGTGAGGGATTACTGGAGTGCAAGGAAAAAGTGTGTAATAGAATGATGGACTTTTCTTTCAAAATGAAACATAAATTGTCTGTGTAACAGATATCAAAGAATCTGGACACTTTTATTGCCCACGAAACATACTGTCACCATTAATTTAATCTATTAATACGAAGGTTCCTTGGTAGAGTTTCTTGGACACAAACTTCAAATTTAGCAATTTATATTACTGGGCCCCCAAATTATTAAGTACATAATTACAAAGTACACAGAAGTAGTGGTGAAAAAAATATAAAAGGTAATATTTCAGAATATACTAGGTGTCCACTTTATCTAACCTAACCTAGCAAAACTAAACGAACACATCCTAAGCCACGCCTTATCAGAAAAGAGAATTGAGAGGTCAGAACCCACTGTGGTGCATGATCTTGTACTGCATATAAACTATTTTAAGTAAAACATCTTACCATTCTGCTTCTTAGAAACCAATTCAACACGGGCCAAATTGCCTGAATCAAAATTGGAAATGAACGTAAAACCTCCACACTCAATATCCATTGCATTCATTAGGTTAGAGGATGTATCATTGTGGATATATACATATATTACCTCCTCACCCTGAAAGAAAATGAGTGAAATTAAGAGAAAAGGGGCACTCAGTTTGGTTCTAGTAAGTAGGTTATAACGCCAACCACATACAAACTTTAACGCAGAATCAACACATATAAACATGTTCTGAAGTAACGACGTCTGTATCAAAAACGTAACTCATTAACGATTTCTGAAGAATGTGGATATATTTATACCTAGATCCATTTGTTTTCAACTCACACATTTAACTAAACCATATGATAAAAACCTTAGCCTACACGGAATATACAGATGACGAGCATGCCAACTAGTCTGTATCAAAGTTGTTTTGGGGCACATGAAGCTAAAACCTTCGAAATATACATAAAACAATTCTCCGTCCTTTAAACTTCAACAGTCACATCACTATCAAATTAAAACGCCATGTTATGGTGATGATGGGAGATGATTGTTGTTTTTAAGTGTAGGTCAATAATTACTCAACAGATGGCTTTCAGCGCAAAACTTCGAGGCATGCCTCATACCGCTCATACCTCATACCGACGTACGACCGTACGACCCGTACCGACCCGTACAACGCGTAGGACAGCCATCGTCGAAGCACGAAGGTAGGCGCATACACGATGGGTCGATACCACTTCACTGTCGATATTTCATTATTACACAGTGCCCAGATTTTTCAAGTTTATGACCTTTATGACCCTGCCTGCCAATTTCAGTAACTGTTAGTGCCATTTTTAAGTGTCTCGTCTAATTAAATCCATGATGCACATAACATTTTAAATAGGTTATAACGCTCCAGAAGAAGCCTCTGGCTCCGTGTTTATAATTCCTGTATGGGTACTGAGTATTTTTATATTTTTTTTTATTGCTAATGGGGTGGGAATAAGTACCTTGTAGTGCGGCCACTTCTGGCCTATCGTACCAGCCCCAGATGATAGGAGGGTGATTGTGGAGCAATTGGTGGAATAAAGATTGGCAGGGGAAACCGAAGTACTCTGAGAAAACCTGCCCCAGCACCACTTTGTCCACCACAAATCCCACTTGACCAGACCCGGGATCCAACCCGAGCCGCCGCGCTGGGAAGCCAGCGACTAACCACTTGAGCTATGGCGCAGCCTGGGTACTGAGTAACCCAGTTCTTTAAATCGCAAAGAATTTTCCTCCAGGTTTTGGTTTGTGGACCTTTATTCAATAAATTCGCACCACCCTACCATCATTGGTGGTATTTTCTATCCCTGACACAGAGACGCACCCTAGCGAAGCACACTAATCACTAGGGCCAGGATCTTTATGCGCCAAAAACACTTAAAATATGCGCTTAAAAGCAGGATAAAACAATATGCATTTAACAAACAGGTCACTTTATTCGCTCACCTATTTACATGTATCATTCACTGCAGAAAGTAGCATCACAATAGGCCACTAGAAGTCTTTCAATGTTTTCTGGAGACAAACTATGTCTATTGTCCATCAAAATGAGTTTATAGGCCAAGAATGATTTTTCTACAACAATTGACATGATTGGACAGTATGTATACACTGGAACCTAAGGTTTGGAACATTCTACTGGCAAAGATAACCTAATTCCACTCAAGTACTGACTAACTAACTGAATCTTTTTGAGTCCTGGGTTCGAATTCAACACCATTTCTAACTTGCATTTAATTTTCTCTCCAATTTCGCCTGGAGTGGAATTCAGTGAACAAGTTGCTTTCTGAACGAGTTCACCACAAGATTCTAGCTCTCAATGGCTTTTGAAACTGTAGAAAAATGTGCATGGATAAAATTCACATCTTGAGAAACAGTATCACATCCGAACACCAATTTTGCTTCACGGACACATGCATACTCATCTTAAAGTTTTGCAACCACTTCTTTTACTTGATTGAAATTCTCCTGATAAAATGAAACTGCAGATAACCATGTCCCCCGCCTAGTTAGGACAGGTTCAGGTGGCAGAGGAGCCTGAGGTAGGCAATCTTTGTAGAACTGGACACGAGCTGGTGCTTTCAGAAAGTTTTTTTTTTTCCACTTGCAATTAAATCATTAACAGCTGGAAACTGTGTGCATATTTTTCTGCGATACAGTGTAACCTGTGCGCTAAACAGGTTACGTGTATAAGTTTTGGATAAAATACTTGTAAGGCCTTTGCTAGGGGCCGCGCCATAGCTCAAGCGGTTAGTCGCTGGCTTCCCACAGCGGCAGCCAGGGTTTGATCCCGGGTCTGGTCAAGTGGGATTTGTGGTGGACAAAGTGGCACTGGGGCAGGTTTTCTCCGAGTACTTTGGTTTCCCCTGCCAATCTTCATTCCACCAATTGCTCCACAATCACCCTCACCTATCATCTGGGGCTGGTACAATAGGCCAGAAGTGACCGCAGTACAAGGGACTTATTCCCACCCCACTAACAAAAAAAAAAAGGCCTTTGCTGCTTTCAACATATAGGAAGCTCCATGTGTGAGTAATACAAGCACCTTACATCAATTATTCTCAATTTCAGATGGCCATAGTAGTCACAGAGAATCGTTTAAAAAACTTGCTCTTGTGCTATGGTTGGTGTTCTCTAGTACTTTGCAAGCAAGATGAGGTTTGCCGGGTTCATCTGGATGTAGCTTACCAACTACGAAATTTGCTGTGTATCACCACATAAATCGGTTGTCTCATGCACCGATATCCAGACACAGTTCCCTCAGATGTCAGAAGGATTGATCCCACGGTAAATTCATACAGCAGAGGCAGATATTTTTTCTAAGAGTTGATTTATGTGGTATTTTTTGAAGTACACAATATTTCTCTACAAATGATGGCAGAACTGGATTGCTCAATTTATTCCATGGAATGTTGCTGCATACTAAAGCCTTACAAAGATCATCTGAAAATGTATTAACAGAGGACTTGCGTTTGACCTGTGTAAGAAGTAGTTTTGGTGTGCTGCTCTTCTCCTTCTTTTCCACAATACGTGCAGTTGTTCCTGAGTGTTGTTCAAGTTGAAATTCTTTTCACTTTTTACTTCCTTTGCGCAAACTTGACAGTACACGACAACACCGTCTGTTGAATAGTCACTATTACAAGACACCCACTGATTTTTTAAATATCTACTGCTGCACTTTTCTTTAGGCATTTTCAGTACACGAACACTTTTCTGATGCAGACTATTAAAGAAAAGAGTAACACATTAACTGAAGAGACCTCTCAACACCAACCCTCTGATGCTACTGTCTGCTGCAGTGGTCAATGGAATGCAGGAAAATCCCACCCCCTCCCTTTTGAAATAGCCAAGCTACCTGCTTGAATTGTAAGTGGTAAAAGTGCCATTAATCAGAGTTGAGAATAGCAACTGGCAAGGGATGTCCAAAACACAGGCAAAACCGATTTTGTTAGAGAATATTTGAAATTATCTTTAATTTCAAACATATATGCAGAATATGCTCTTATGTTTAGAATATGCAATAACAACCAAAAACCCTCAAAATATGCATTTGCATATGCATTTTAAAAAAATCCAGGCCCTACTGATCACTTATTCTCTTGTACAGATCTTTGTAAAATATTTTAGAGAATGCTGTTGGTAATGAAATTGGTCTGTAGTTGGACATGCAATATTTTTATCTCCTTTGTGTAGCAGTTTGGCCCTTGAATACTGAAGTAACTCTGGTAATCCTCCTACTGCCACTGACTTGACTACAAATATAACTTAAATGGATGCTAACATAGTACTTGAAGTTACTGAATAAGTTGCTGATATTTTGCCATTACCACACAAATGTCATGAGGAAATTTACCATTTTAAGTTTCATCTGCAGCTGTGTGTATATGATTTATAATTGATTAGTTTTTATAAATGTCTTTGTCTGGATCCTTCATTGCATCTTCTTACAATATACCATAACATAATGAATATGATAATGTATTGTGACTGATATGGTTAAATTGGAACATCTATATTTTAGATATTCAGATTAAAGAGGTGATCTACCTTTGATCTTAGAACTTTTCAGTTCATATTTTTTAGGTGGTATTGCATGTTGTCTTTGCTGCAGGTTATTCTGATTTTGCACATTTGAAGAAATGAACAACAGAATGAGTAAATGTCATTAGAATATACCATTTCTGAACTTAATATATGTCCAACTATTTTTATGATAGCATCAAAGGCCAACCTTTCTTATCAATTTTAGGAAGAATGTGACAGGTTTTCTATGAAACACTTCCATTTCTCACTATGCATGGGGATATCCCAAATTCAGAAGTGACCTTCTTTGCCAGGAAGGGGTATCGGTGAATTTAACTCAACTTTTTCTGCTATAATCTGAGCTCAGTATAGTCCAAATTTGATATTATGAAGGTCTTTCACAATTTTCACCAAACTGATACATTCAAATTTTCATATCCTCCAAAACCACTGTGCTCCAGGGTGACAAGAATGCTCTTTTTTTTTAAGTATATTATTTCCATTGGAAGATGTTTGTTGAAATTTTGATTTACCAGGACCGATCACTAAGGGAATAGTGGCAGGCTCTGGTGAAAACATCATTAAACCTTCAGATTCCATAACAGGCAAGAAATTTCTCAAATAGTTTAGCAACTATAAGCTTCTCAAGAATGATTATATTTCATGGAGTCAGTGTCTAGTGATGATAAATTTCTTACCATCTATACATACACAAATCTTGTCTTTGTACATCACATTATACCTGTGACAACTTACGTTCTGCCGTGAGATTCAAAGACACAAATGCTTAAGAACCACCATTTAGGCTGCAATTATAAGAAAACTGTAAGAATAAAGATTTGAAGTTCCAGTGTACTTACCAGTATAGTATGGATTTTCCACTGTCAGTTGGCCTCTTGTATATTTTCAGGCATGGTTTACTACATTGCGTTATTTCTAGAATGACTTAATTCCATGACAGAGCTGCAAATGTTTTACTCTTTTAGCATACTTTTAAGCGACACATTGTAAATTTCTTTGTCCTCTGTCATTTCTTCACCCCAGTGAATATTTCTTTGCACATTTAACCGTTCAGCGTGGTTTGACGTGTATGTTTCGTCAGGTATTTAAATCGTCTGGGGGGGTTCGACGTCTATGTTTCGTCCAGCTGCACACCTATGTTATAACGCCCATAATAATTGATGGTTTTGCTGTAGATTGTTAGATTTTTTGCTGGCCTGTTGTCACAAGGACTATATATAATGAGACACGACTTTATCTGCGCTAAGTCATCGTTACATATGCCTGTCTTGCAGCAAAGTTCCTGTTGCTCTTGCGAGAGGTTTCCTCGTTCAAACTGTTATGAATGGCGTGTTTTCTTTCCTATGAAGTTATAAACAGCAGAGACGTGATATGTGCTGTGTTTATAATATCATATTGCCCTGAGCTGGCCACACTAACACACTCAATTGGAATTCTTAGAAGAGGGATGTCCAAAAATTTATTCTTGCAAGATCGATTGATTTCGCACAGTACATAGCACCCAGTTCTTAGAAAAACGTCACGAATTTAGGCAGAACACTATGGTCACCCCCTATGACGATACTGGTGTGTGTGTGTGTGTGGGGGGGGGGAAAGAACTCATTCCTTCATGTATTATCGCTCCAGTTGACGCCATTTTATCGTACTGACCTTGGTGGTCGTTTCGAGTGATGACCATAAATATTTTTTTTGAGCCAGCTAAGCTCTGCTTTCGTGCACTACATACCAGCCAGTTCTTAGAATAACTTCATGAATTCTGTGGTCACCCCTACGACATCTACTGCTGCCAAAATGGATGGAATATCAAAGGCATAGCAACAACCCCTTGTTATAACTCGTAATGTTGAATTTACTGCAGCTGACCTGACTAGCTAAACGCTCACGGAAAGACAATTCCTTGAACTTATACCCCTCACGGGGAAGAAGGCAAGGGCGCACAGAAGATGTGTGGTTAAAAAAAAGAGCCAAAGAAAAGATACACAATACTGGTGTGGTGAATGTGGGGCAGCGTTGGGTTAGAAGAATGCTTCAAAGCCTTCCTTACACTGCTCAAATTCTAAACCAACTGCTTCCATTGCCGAGATACCGGGCGCTCATAAGGCAAGGTTATAAAACCACCTTTTAAGATCATTTTAGTCAAAGTTTCATGTTCCTATCTCATATAATTTAAGAATAATGATGAATAAATCATTTTCGAGCAAAATTTAAATGGCCGGCTGAATATATTACCGCCGGAGAGACGGCAGCGGAATTTAAATGACCGCGCAAAAGGGTTAACAATGCCTTTTTTTAATATATGGGTTATCATAAAATTAAATGATGATTATAAATGTAAGGGGAAGGATGGGGAAAATAGTAGTTGTAGCCTATTTAAAGGCATTTATCTCAGCATCTGCTCAGAGGAACTAAAGAGAATTACCAAAAAAAAAAAATAGTCTGGATAGCTGTCTCCAAATTAAGAAACACAGTTTCATAGTACATCGCTGAAGAAGGTCCCACCTTCAAACATTTTAACTCCACCTCTGACAATACCAACAAGGGACACTTACAAACTTGTAAGGTAAGACCAACACAGTAAATCAAATTAGTGTCTTGAGCTTTGTCTGGTGGAATATGCAGCTTTACCAATGGCAATATGTTTTTGATAAATAAACATAACATGGATGCTGTAACAAAACATTATGTGTGAGGACAATATCTGCAATCATTGCAATCTGACGTGTTGTAAACATAATTACTAGCAGTAAAGGTAAAGTTGCATGTACTGTCTTCGCTTGCTTGGAAACCGGGATTGTGGGTTCGAATCCCACTCAGGGCATGGATGTTTAGTTTGTGTGTGTGCGTTTTTCTGTGTTTGTGTACAGGAAGAGGCCTTGCGGCGAGCTGATCACCGGCCCAACGAGTCCTACTGAATGTGTAAGATTTAGAAAACCAAAGTGAACAGAGAAGTTCATGGAGGCAGGCCTAGGCCCACTGGGGCTGTAGTGCCGGGGGGGGGGGGTAAAGTTGTCCCTCTGCCTAACTAATTAAGCACTATGTCATGAAGGTATATGAGGGAGTGTGATGTACAGGTCCACATTTCTTGACCTCAGCACTAGTTGGAGGTGAGTGGTCAGCTTCATGCCCAAGCCACTTTACCCCTGGAGATAAAGCCCCCAGTAACCATTAGAGAGGAGGTTGGGTAGACCTCAGAGCTGGTCTGGACAACATGGAGAAAATTCTTGACCCTACCAGGCCTCAAACTCCAACCCCTCAGTCATCCAGCCCATAGCCAGTCGCAATACCAACTATGCTATCCCAGCTCCTTAATTACTAGCAGTACAAGTGATACTAAAACCTCTAAGTTCCAATTCTTCAAAACCCTAAAACACACTATATAAAAGGAACTTTTTAATGCTTGTTCTAATCATATGTATTTGTGAATTTTAGCATGAACATCTTTGTTTTAAATGTGCTACTTTGTCTTTATTGTAGAGTATTTATATCTCACAAACAATCAATTTCAAATGTGCTACTTTGCCTTTATTGTAGAGTATTTATATCTCATGAAAAAACAATTTCACACACAGGTTACGCATAGGCACAAAGAAATAACATCTCGTGAAGAACAGGTATTTGCTATCCTAACACCACCACTGAAGGTAAACACTTCCTCTGAAACATTTACAGTTTCCAATTATGAAAACTTCTCCTAATCTTCACCTGCCCAAGCTTTATTTTTTGCTATTGCTTGAGCAGCTCCCAATCTCGATGGATCCTGTGAAGGATAGTGAATGGCACCTTGCTTGAGTGATGGAGTTGGAAGAGTTCCTGGTGGTACTAGCGGTGCTGGATTGGGAGGAAGCTGAGGAATAGCTGGAGCAGTTCCAGGGGGGAATAATGGAGGCTGAGATATATTAAAAGGGGGTGGTCTAATTCCTGGTGGTCTCATAGGTGGACGCACGTGAGGAGGGAAAAAGAAAGGGGGTGGACCTGGTGGACGAATGCCAGGTGGAGGGCGCGGCATGGGTGGTGGAATCAACATCGTAGGAGGTATTGGTGGTGGCATTGTGGGAGGTGGAATGTTAGTCTGTACGGCTGGGGCAGAGCTATCATCTGTTTCTGCTAGGTTGAAAAAGTTGTTCTGTAATTCAGATGGAGGCAGAGGCAAGGTCCCAGGAAGACCTGGCACTGGTTCCAGTTCTTCCACCATTGGATCAATGCCATCCCCACGAGCAGCTGATGAGCCTTGTCGAGCTTGAGAACGACCCCACTTGATTGTCAATCGTCGTCCACCAAGGATTAATTTATTGAATGTACGTTCAGCTGCTTGCTCTGATGCTGATCGTAATGTGAACTGGATGAATGCACACTGCTGTCGAGCAACTAATGTGATTGATCTGATCTCACCATACTGATAAAAATGATCCCTGCAAACACAACATAAGTACAATTGTATTACACTTGAAGGTATCCAATCAACTGCTGTGTACAGTGAAAGTATCCAACAGGTGAAGAGCTTAGTAAGAGAAGTGGATGGCTACTGTGGCTACTATTTAGATGTTAAGGGTTTGGCTATAATAAGAATCTTTGAACGAAACTGAGGACCACCTAATGTTACCAGGTGTCCCTCCTGCACACATAAAATGAGCACAAGATGAAGATGACCATTCATTCCCATTAGTAATGACGTTTCACCATTATGCCCTCATGCACTTAGGCACAGGGGTAACTCCAACTTCATCTTACCTTAGCCTCTGATTTAAGTGTCAACAATTTCTTTAGCTGTTGAGGCAAGAAGTGCTGTGAAAATATTAATATGCTAATGCTAGTATGAACTCATTTGTAAATGCAAACTCCAACGGTTCATGCTAAACAAATATCCATTAATTCAATTTACTTTTTCACTGGAATACATCTTCTTATGGTAGAAAAATTCTAGTCATAATAAAGAAAGAACACAAGGCTACTCATAAGAAACACAATATGCCTCACCTGAGTTCTTTCTCAGTCAGTTTATCACCAAGGTTCCCAACATAAAGTGTAGTTATAGTCTTGTCTTCTGGTGGTTCAAGCTTTGGCATTGCAGAGGCTCGACGCATAAGTTTCTCAGCTACTGGATCATTGATCCCATAGTACCTAGAGAAAAACCACATATTTTTCTGTCTCAATTCCCACTTTGGAAGAAAATCATAATTACAAAACAACTGTATCAATGTCAGTAATTCAAATAAAAATGTTAAAAAAAACAATTTCTAAAGTAGTGCTTTAGGATGAAACAAAACATTCACATTCTTATTTAAAAATATTATTTTAATCATAAACTTGCATTCTATCGCTATTTCAAATGCTACTTTGGCTTATATTTTTTGTTTATGGACTATTTAATAACTCTATATCAACCACACATATTATGTTTCACGGACTGAAATGTCAGGATTATTATGTATGGTGGATAAACGGCCTAGTGGGGAGAAGACTCCAAATTCATCTGTATGGACTGAAATTAAAATTAAAAACTGCAGTCAAAATAGCTATACCCCAACCACTTCAGGCTAATACATCTATAACACTGGTTTTGTTGAAAGAAATAAAACATTTTAAAGTATTCCTATACTCTAAAATTTAAAAATAATCTGTAAGATAAAACAACTGCACCAGCTTCAATATTTCAAATTACACTTTCAATATGCATGTTCTATGGTGCATCCAGCATTAAAAATAGTGTATGCTGTAATTTATGAACTTCTACTTGTATCACCTTCACAGTAAGTTTATTATACTGTTATTACAAAGCAATTACAATTCTGTTAAGGTTTGTGGGTTTCACACTGGTGAAGATTCATACTACAGTATGGTACTATCAAAACTTGGGCAGCGGGGTCCTATAAATTGTTGGTACCTACCTACCAGACAACAAGTGCCATAATACACAAGATCACAAAATGTATTATGAGTCTTGTCAGTGAAAGTGAATAACGGTTCACGTATAGGGAAAAGAAGATTTATATTTTCCTTTATGATAATAATGATATGTTACCTCCTCACAAAGCATTGCTTTGCTTGCTAAATTTCTCCCAAAGTTGACATTATTGTATGTTACAGTATGTTACCAGTATGTTACAAAAGGTAGTAAACATTTTTTAGTTTTTTGTTTTGTTACTATGATGATAAAAATTGTGTGTTACTGAAGAACAGATAATGCTGATTTTTTAATGTGTATATGGGGACAATCATTCATGAGGGAAAGAATGACAATTTTTAGCTTACTTTCCTGAAGTAGGCTCATGAGATTTCCATGCTGTGTGTAACTGTAAATCCCTCCCCATTAACTTCTGAATGCCTGAATCAATCTTTATGAAATCTGATTTGTATATCATGGCACCCAAGCCCATCTCAACAGCATACTCATAAATCTCTCCCAGCAGTCGTTATATCTGTACATGTATCCCTCTCATCATTGCTAGGCAAATGCTCGCTAAATTGTATCCCTCCTTTCAATGCTAGACAATGCTTCAGTAAAGATGTCCCTGCAGCAACAAAGAATTATTGAAGTGTTGTTTTTTATGCAGTCCGTGTTGTATCAAAGGAGAGTAGGCAACTATTTTTTTCCAGAACTTCTTGATTTAATGTGCATAACTATACATAAATTGCCAGGTAGTGATCAAATTCCAGCAGAATTTATTCAAGCAGGAGGCAAATATCCAGTTCACAAGTCCATAAGCTAATTATTACTACGTAACATAAGGAAAAATTGCCTGAGCAGTGGAAGGAGTCTATTATTGTACCAGTTCACAAGAAGGGTGATGAAACTGACTGTAGTAATTATCAGGGGATATCACTGTTGTCAACTTCATACAAAACTTAATCCAATATTCTTCTCTCAAGGTTAATTCCAGATATAGATGAAATTATTGGGGATCATCAGTGTGGGTTTCGATGCAACAGATCAACTACAGATCAGATCTTTTGCATTTGTCAGATATTGAAGAAAAAATAGGAGTACGATGAGACAGTGCATCAGCTATTCATAGACTTCAAGAAAGCCAAAGATTCAGTTAGGAGGGAAGTATTGTACAATATTCTGATAGAGTTTGGGATACCCATGAAACTAGTTAGGTTGATTAAAATGTGTTTAAACGAAACATATAGTAAAGTCCGTGTAGGTAAACATTTGTCTGATAAATTTCCTATCCAGAATGGTCTAAAACAAGGAGATGCTTTATCGCCACTCCTGTTCAACTTTGCCTTAGAATATGCAATTAGGAAGGTCCAGGGAAACCAGGGGGGACTGAAACTAAATGGGACACATCAGCTGTTGGTCTACACCGATCATGTGAATCTACTGGGTGATAATGTAGATACCATAAAGAAAAACACACAAACTTTAATTGACGCAAGTAAAGAGGTTGGTCTAGAAATAAACACAGAGAAAACTAAGTATATGTTACTGTCTCATCACCAAAATGTAGGGCAAAATCATGACATAAAGACAGGAAACAGATGTTTTGAAAATGTGGCACAGTTCAGATATTTGGGGACAATGATAACAGATCAAAACCTGACTTAGGAGGAAATTAAGAGGCAATTGAACTCAGGTAACGCTTGCTACAATTCAGTCCAGAACCTTTTGTCTTCTCGTCTGTTGTCCAAAAACATAAAAATTAGAATATACAAAACTATAATTTTGCCTGTGGTTCTGTATGGGGGTGAAACCTGGTCTCTGACTATAAGGAATATAAGACTGAGGGTGTTTGAGAACAGGGTGTTGAGGAGATTATTTGGACCGAAGAGAGATGAAATGACAGGAGGTGGAGAAAACTACACAACGAGGAGCGTCATAACTTGTACTACTGAATGATCAAGGAGGATGAGATCGGCAGGGCATGTAGCATGAATGGGGGGAGAGGAGGAATGCATATAGGATATTGGTGTGAAAGCTGGAAGGAAGGAGACCACTGGGAAAACTAAGGCATAGGTGGGTGGATGATATTAAAATGGATCTTGCAGAGATAGGATGGGATGGTATGGATTGGATTGGTCTGGCTCAGGATAAGGACCAGTAGAGGGCTTTTGTGAACACGGCAACGAACCTTTGGGTTCCATAAAATGCTGGGAAATTCTTGAGTAGCTGCAAATTTCGCTTCTCCTCAAAAAGGGCTCAGCTCCATAAGTAAGTAAGTAAGTAAGTAACTATATCAAAAGCAAAAATCCTGAGAATAATGTGAGGAGGACTGCATGTGAAGCTACTGAAACTACATGCATCTCAATATGTTAATCTGTAAGCAAGGAATAATGTCTCTTCAACAAATTGCACAAGTAGAACGTGCATTTGCATTCCTTTGTGTTAGATAAAATCTAAACCCTCAGATTAATGATAAGATTATTTAGGCGAGTATCAAAATGTGGTTGTATGCTAAAAATGCACTTAATTTGTGGTCTGTCTTGTCCCTGGACAGCTTGCATTATCCCATTCTATAAAGTAATACTCATTTAACACTTCTATTTCTAGTTTATTTAATGATGACTCAAACTATCTATGACTGATTGATTGGATGCTACTGAACAATGACTTGGAAAGGATATGGGAAGAAGTGTTATGGCCTGATTGAAGGGTGTCCTGGTATTTGCCTATATGGACTGGGCAAAACCATGAAAAACCTCAGTCAGAATAGTCGATGCCCTGTCAAGAGATTTTAACCAGGCACCTTCCAAAGACAAGTCAGAAGCATTTGTTGCTTGACACAACTTGTTCAACAATGCTGCTGACATAAGAACAACCCCTCCATTCTCTATATCAGGCGCACCATAGCTTACAATCCTGACAGAAAATCACTACATTTCATTCTGACCCAAAACCCCTTCAAGGAAACAATCAGAATTAATAGGCCTGAAAAAACATAAGTGAAGTATGAGTATACAGAGCTCCCAAACATATCTGTGATTTTGCATCCCTCTTTGGTCTTCATGTACCACACATACAGATCTATGATGATAAAGTACACCACCAGGAGAGAGGGGGGGAAAGGGGGAGGGAAAGAGAAGATGAAGTTATTTAATAACTTTTGTTCAACTGCAGGAGTTATAAAACAATGAAGAGACAAGAACATGGTCATGAATGGTGAACAACTAAGGATTTAGAATGAGAGGACTGTGGCCCATATCAAAGTATCATATCAGCATTCACCTGGAATGACCAGGGACACTATGAAAATCTCCATCAAGGATAGCTGATGATTCAGATATGAGTTTCACTCAGCACCTAATCTGCAAAGGGACACAATTATTTTTTTCTTGCAGTCTTTTAATCAGATATTCTTAAAAAATGCTGTAAGTTTGATTTGTTCATGTAAAGTAGGTTATAATGGAGTGACATGAGCCAGAGTGAAATTTCATTAATATTCATTACATGGTTTAGGTAATAAAATACACATATTAACAGACATGACCTCTCCCTTAGGTGTTCATATATTTCGATTAAGTTTGCAGGTATGTAAAATAGTATACAGATAAAATTGCCGGTCACGGTAGCCGAGCGGTCTAAGGCGTGCACTGTCTTCGCTCGCTCAGAAGCCGGGATCGTGAGTTCGAATCCCACTCAGGGAATGGATGTTTGTGTGCGTTTTTCTGTGTTTGTGTACAGGTAGAGGCCTTGCGACAAGCTGATCACACGCCCAAGGATTCCTACCGTATGTCTAAGATCTAGAAAAACCGAAGTGAACGGAGAAGTTCATGGAGGTAGGCCCAGGCCCACTGGGGCTGTAGTACCAAGGAAAAAATATACAGATAACATTATTACTATAAGGCATTAGAAAGCATTTACCTGTCTTTGATATTCTGATCAGCTAGAGGATCATCAGGGTCTGTCGGTTTCTCGTGACGGTATGGACACTCTTCCCCTCGCTTACATTCTCCTTTCACCCAGAAAGAGCAAATGTGTGGTCTGTTCCTCTTGTAGTAAGGACTTGTCCTGGCCAGCTTCATTAACAGGTCACTGGCAGCTTGTGACTTGCCAACCGCACCTGCTGGTGTTGTGGCATCAATCTTGCCAAGCTAGCAAACAATAACAGTGATGAAAATTAATTATATTTATTGAAAAGTAAAGGCTATCACATTAGTGTGTTGAAAACTAATTCACCTTACTCTTTCACCATCGGCTTGTGAGATGGAACCATAGCTGTCAAATCCCAGAAAACAAAGTGTAGATTGGTGGCTGAAATGCTGCATATTACAAATAGATATTTCTTAAAGAAAATCAATTTTTAGAAGAATTTCAGGCCACAGCAGATGCTCAAAATGTCTCCCTTCTGTCATTAAACAAACTTAAAGACTAGTATAAGATTATCAACTCCATCCAGTGTGATGGATAAATGTTTTCTTTCCTTTTTAATCTTTCATCCTTGACATGTTTTGGTCAGAGCAACCATCTTTAGAAGGACTTATATAAATACATGTGGAAACATGTGATTGGTCATTATCAATACATACATACAATACTGTAACAAGGCCATGAATATAAAATCTTAGTCTTTAAAAATTACAGTGATGTGCCTGAACTTATTAAAATATTTATAATTTATTATAATTAGTTTATTTACAAGTGTGGTTTAAAAACTTTGTTAAAATCTAGAACCAAATTTGGTTCAAGTCCTTTATAATGCTTCTCTTTAAAGGAAGATGAGTGCCTACCATGTCATGGTTCCATTGCTTGATGAATAGGACCCTTTAATGTCGTCCAGTTGTTATACAAACAGTGCAGTCTGAACAACTGGACAACACTAAAGAGTCCTGAGGTGAAAACTGTCTGGTACATGAAAACATAATTAACCTTTAAACGACTAAAGTACCCATATGGGGTCG